TATAATTTTTATAGTACACTAAAAATGAAGAGTTTGATGTCTAAATCTCTTGTTTCATGCTGAATTCTCAGTTAATTTGACTTTTCTCTTGCTAATGGGCAACAAAAAAGTGCAAAATGAGTCTCCTATGTTCAGAAATGGCTACTCTATGCAGTCTATGAATTTATTATTGCTCTAATCTTTCATAAACAAAATAAATAATAAAAAACAAATACAGTTAAAGGCATAAATATTAGCCCCTCTTTGAATTTATTTTTCTTTTTTAAATATTTCCCAATTGATGTAGAACAAAACAAGGAAATTTTCACAGTATGTCTGATAATATTTTTTCTTCTGGAGAAAGTCTTATTTGCTTTATTTTGGCTAGAATAAAAGCAGTTCTTAATTTTTTATGAACCATTTTAGGGTCAAATTTTTAGCAAGCTTTTAATTTTTTCAACTGTACAGAACAAACCATCATTATACAATAACTTGCCTAATTACTCTAACCTGCCAAGTCAAGCCAATTAACCTAATTAAGCCTTTAAATGTCTTTAAGCTAAAAAGAAGTGTCTTGAAAAATATCTGGTCAAATATTATTTACTGTCATCATGACAAAGATAAAACAAATCAGTTATTAGAAATTAGTTATTAAAACTATTATGTTTAGAAATGTGTTGATAATTCATGGTGGCTAATAATTCTGACTTCAACTGTATATATAATTATTACATTTCAATTATTTATTTACATTATTTATTTAGTTTTATATTTAATTAATTATTTATTTCACAACACCTTATTTACTATGCTGTAAAACCTGTTATTCAATATAAGAAAACAAAGATTACTAGGGTGTGTTAAAAAGTCAACGTTGCAACTTTGGTTTTATTTATTTTTGAAAAGCGTGTTTTATCATGTGCTATGTAATCCAGTTTTAGTCTTTCGACATCAGAATTTCAAAATAAACATTTTCAAATAAGTCATAAGAATTTCTGAAGGCACTACAAAAATCCTGAGTTTAAAGTGAATCCTACACCATTACTTTAAGTATAAGATCTGCAGAACTCATATACAGTGCTCAGCATAATTGAGTAAACCCCATTTTGAAAATGAATATTTTTGTTCATTTTTCAGTGAATATGGGCAATGTATTTTGGTGCATTTAAACAAAAATTTTATCAAAAGATTTATCAAACAAATATATTTTAGACACCAAACATTTTTAGAAATAGAAACATAATACACTTAAATGTAATGAAAATATTGCACAAATAAATAAATAAATAAATCAATCAATAAATACAACCTACAAAATTTTAACTAAATTCTTTTTTTTTTTTTTTTGCTTCTTTTGACTTTTTTCTCCTTTTTAAATTTGTATTTAATGTTTTCCTGTAACATATAAACTTGGGTGTGCTAGTTTTTGGACTGTTGTTGTAAGTTATTTTGTTAGATAAGCTCCAGATCTAATATAGATGCACAAATATAATATTGTAAAGCTTCCTACTAAAATTTGAAAGATAGATTTGTGAGGGGTGTACTTATAAACGTATGCTAATCACTGTATAGTCTGAATTCTTTTAATGACCTTCAATTTAGATTATAATCACAAATGAGTGAACTGACAGCAAACTAATCCCCCTCAGGTGCCACACACCTGTCTCCTGGAGCATCTCTGGTTTCTGCACTGCTCCATCTATAATCCCCTCTCTTCTGTTTATACTATATTAAAGAGCGTCAACATGTCCTTTTAGCCATTATTTATTAATGTGTTACCCCAAGCAGAAAATGAGGCTACATGTTATTGCTACAGTACGATTTCTTTGACCTGTATTCACCATTATAAGCCACTGATCTATAAAAGCCAGAGAAAAACATGAGTTCAGCAAAGAAAGAAAAGAAAGAACGAAAGAAAGAAAGAAAGAAAGAAAGAAAGAAAGAAAGAAAGAAAGAAAGAAAGAAAGAAAGAAAGAAAGAAAGAAAGAAAGAAAGAAAGAAAGAATTTTATGTCAGCAGTAGGCATGGGACAATAACCGGTTTCCATAAAACCGCCATACTGTTCTGCTATACTGTTCCTACTGTCACGATCACCAGCGATCCAGCCTGTGCAGATTGCTGGTAAACACACAGTATTGCATAGAACTACAAATCCACCATTAAATGGACTACAAAATCCAGTCATGCACCTCTTACACACCTGGCCTATCCCCATGATTTCAAACAGACACAGCTGAAGCTACTCATGAACTGACTACTAGGACTATTTATACAGCACACACACACTTCAGTGCTGAATCTTGTGATACTGTGAACATTACAACGCATGTTCCTTGCCTTGTTTTTGATCCTCGCTTTGTTTTGTTTGTTTAGGTTGCCTGCTTCCTGCCTGTACTGACCATTCGCCTGGTATTTGACAATGACTCTGGATTTGCCTGTATACATCTGTTTGCCCCTTTGTTTACCATTGCTTGCCTGATCATCCGGCTGATAAACGCTGGGTTTGGATCCACACCCCTGTTGTCAGCATCACTTCACATTACAGGTCTATTTAAGATTTTTTTATTTATGTTTTATTTATTTATATTTTAGGACAACAGTATCTCCAGCAGAAAAGATCTACAAAGATGCTGTTTTAAATCGTAATGAAATCAGTGTTTTTGAAACTAATGAAGACAGCAGAAGTCAATGATTTATCTGAATTATTTAGCCTGGCATGTTTCCTGCTCCAATATTTCTTAAATGTTTCTTAAAATAAAATATATTGTGTTCAATGGGGAAAAGGTTTTAGTTTTTTACCTTGACGTTTAAATAGAATATATTTTAGAGCAGTAATCACGATAAAACCATGATATTGTTATCCAAGGTTATCATACCGTCAAAATCTTATATCGGACCATGCCTCGTCAGCAGCATAAACTGCCAGGTAACCAAAAACAAATTTAACAAAAAAGTGTTGCCCCCAAAAAAACATATTTCATGCTAATTTAACACATAAAATTTAGTTTGGTTGATATAAAATAATGTATTTAAGCTGATTCTGTGATATTAAATGATACATTTGACTTGAGTAAAACTGGTTAGCTTAGAAACTTTGATACTTTTAGTAAGTGTGCTTCATAAATTATATATATATATATATATATATATATATATATATATATATATATATATATATATATATATATATATATATATATATATATATATATATGTATATATATATTTCTTTTTAAAATATTTCCCAAATGATGTTTAACAAAAGCAAGGAAGCAATTTTCACAGTGTGTCTGATAATATTTTTTCTTCTGGAAAAAGTCTTATTTGTTTTATTTCGGCTAGAATAAAAGCAGTTTTTAAGTTTTTTAAATCATTTTTAAGGTCAAAATTATTAGCCCTTTTAAGCTATATATTTTTTCGATAGTCTACAGAACAAAGCATCGTTATACAATAACTTGCCTAATTACCCTAACCTGCCTATTTAACCTAATTAATCTAGTTAAGTCTTTAAATGTCACTTTAAGCTGTATAGAAGTGTCTTGAAAATATCTAGTCAAATATTATTTACTGTCATCATGGCAAAGATAAAATTTATCAGTTATTAGAAATGAGTAATTAAAACTATTATGTTTAGAAAAGTGTTGAAAAAATCTTCTCAACGTTAAACAGAAATTAAGGGAAAATAGTATATTACTAATAGTAATAATAATAATTCCTTACATTTATATAGCGCTTTTCTGGAAATTCAAATCGCTTTACTTATTTTGGGGGAATCTTCTCATCCACCATCTGTGTGCAGCATCCACCTGGATGACGGGATGGCAGCTATATTGCACCAGACCATACACCACACACCAGCTGATTGGTGGAGAGGAGAGAGAGTGATGAAGCCAATTGTGATATTGGGATTGTTAGGAGGCCAGTGGGCAAATTTGGCCAGGATGCCAGGTTAAACCCCTACTCTTTTTGAAGGACATACTGGGATTTTTAATGACCAAAGAGAGTCAGGACCTCAGTTCATCTGAAAGACTGAGCAGTATAGAGTCCCCTTCACTATACTGGGGCATTAGGACCCTTACAGCCCGGCAGTTGAGCGCCCCCTGCTCTCCTTACTAACACCACTTCCAGTAGCAACCTAGCTTTCACATTTGGTCTCCCATCCAGGTACTGACCTGGCACTGTGGGCGACCATGTGAGAGTTGCAGAGAGCTGGCTGCCGGCAATTTGTGCATATACATTAGATTAGTCAGAACTGAAGCCAAATCTGGAGCTTATCTAATAACGGTGCAAAAACTAGTACACCCAAATGTATAAGTTCGAGTAAAACAGTGAATACAAATTTAAAAAAGAGAAAAAAAAATCAAAATAAACAAAAAAAAATGGAAAAATTTAGTTAAAGGGTTGTAATTTTTTTTGTGATTTTTGCTTAAATTTAATTGTATTATCTTTCAATTTCTAAATATGTTTGATGACTAAAATATTGTTTTAGTAAATATATCTGTTTAATAAATCTGTTTAAGTATATTATAATTAAATAAAAATAATTAATTAAATAATTAGTAAAAACTTGCCCATTTTACAGTGATGTACCTGTGATGTAGGCTACATTTGATGTATATTTGCTTAAAACTTTTTGATAGCCAAAACAAGTGCCTACGTGCACGAACGGAGCACAATATATCATAATCACAAAACAATGCTCATCAAACACCCACGTAGACAGAAGACTGAAGAGCCAAACACTGATATTCCCATGATGCTCTCATGCATCCAGAAGAGCATTAAAGCATGAAATCTCACACGACCATATGGCATGCATAAATCAACTTCTGAGGTCTTTTTTTTTAAATAAGCACGTGTGCTTCAATCGCACTATCCTATTTTATACCAGCCAACCATTGAAAAGGACAACCTAATATGGGGAATAAAGTATTTATGTTGCATCTATGAAGAGTCACATCCTGACGCATAATAATAAGATCACTGAACACACACATACACACACAAATGCAAGTACTTACGGGCTCCTGTGCTGAGCTTCACATAAACACACCATATCCACAATATGAGCGGCACCTCCAGTCCGACAATCCGCCGCATTCTCACTTTTATTCCGATGTAAACAAAGAGAAACCGCGGCGTTTTGTCCTTCCGTCTCTCGCACCCTCCCTGCGCGGAAGGGAAGCCTTCAGGACTGGCGCTGTTTCTGCGTGCTTTACGTGCTCGACACAGTCAGCTTTCTGTTAAACCTAGGTAGAAAATGTGTCGGGACTCGCATTGTTTGTCAAAGCATGTCTTGGTGAAATCGCGTTTCGCTGAATGCTCGCATTGTTACGCCAGACGAGGTTTTCCGGGACGGTCGCTGTCCAGGTGCTGAAGTTAATGAGGTCTCGAGTCTCCCCCTCTCCGTGTAGAAGTGGTACAGTCCACCTGCACAGTGAATCGCAACGGGCCGCTAAAAGGTAGGAAGGGAGAGGGGTGCACGATCAATTCTTAAAGGGATAGCGCAAGCAAAACATAAATCTGTCAACGATTGAGGTACATGCCTTCATGTTGATCTAAACGGTGTTTTTGAAGAGACTCTGATGAGTTTTCATGTGAATGGAAAAAGGTTCATAAACTTTATGCTTATGACCGATTGAAAAATAAATCATTATAATCAATAATTGGCGACATGTTGGTTCAGTGAAGATTGGGGGTTCGAGCCTCAGCTGGGCCGCCCCGTATGTTCTCCCTGTGTTGGTGTGGGTTTCCTCCGGGTGCTCCGGTTTTCCCTACAGTCCAAAAACCTGCGCAATTGAATAAATTAAATTGGCCATAGTATATGTGTGTGAATGAGTGTGTATGGATGTTTCCCAGGGTTGGGTTGCAGCTGGAAGGGCAAAAGCATATGCTGGATAAGTTGGTGGTTCATTCCGCTGTGGTGACCCCAGATGATTAAAGGGACTAAGCTGAAGGAAAATGAATAAATGAATAATCAGTAGTTTCATAATCCTAATAATGTAAATAATGTTCAGCTTCTGGCACAGACTGATCAGTTTACTCTATAAGTCCTCAATGCATCCTCGGGAGCCAAGAGTATTCATTTTGTTTTGCCTGAAAATGTTTTTTTATTTCTTCAAGTGTCGGTTGTTGTTGATTTGGCATTATGGACCACACATTTAGCTAAAAATCTTTGGTAATGTTCTACTGAATTAATAAATCACTAAGCTTTGAATGCATGGCCTGTGGGTCAAAAAAACAACAACTAGTAATTGAATTTTGTTTGAGTGAACTATCACTTTAAGATACATTTATTAATATAAGAAAAAGTTATTTAGAGGATTGAAATGTGAAAATGTTGACTGATCTGAAGTACTGTCAAAACTCTGCCATATTCATCTAATAAAACATAAATGTTATTAAAAAAAAATGGGAATAAAAAAAGGACAATGCTTCATTAGGAGATATCTAATATCTTCAAAATAACTAAAGAAAGAAAGGTTCGGAATGAGTTGAAAGCCTCATCATTTTAACCTATTCATTGATTCATTTTTCTTCAGTTTAGTCCCTTTATTTATCAGGGGTTGCCACCGCGGAATGAACCGCAAACTTGTCCAGCATATGTTTTACACAGCAACCTAGTACTGGGAAACATCCATACACACAACTAATTGTTGGCTCGTATATGGACAAACCCAACAGTTGGGTTAAAAATGTCATTTGAATTTAATATAAAAATTAAATTAACCCATTGTCAGGTTTTTCCACATTTGACCCAACATTGGGCTTATTCAACCCAGCATTGTTAGAGTGTGTTTGATTGTGTGTACAGCTCTACTTTAGATATATTTAGAAAAAAAAAATTGCCAGACATTCTGCATATTTATTAAATTCTGTTTTTATGTCTGGATTGTGTGGTTTTACACTCTAAATTATGCTAGGTCGTCTTAATATTGTGTTAAATATGGATAAATCCAACCACTGAGTTAAACTTTTACTGACATTTTTACTCAATGTTTGAATTGTCAATAGTTGACCCAAATTTAAGTTGATCAACTAATATTAAATTATAATCTTTAAAATGCAAGTCGCTGGCTTTGTTTCGATAAATATTTATTTCAAATAACCTCTTGGTTAGATATTTTATTTGAAATGAAATGGTGAGAAACGAAAAATACCTTTTTTTACCTTTAGATCAATTTGTGTCATTCATTCATTTTCCTTTGGCTTATATATCGGGGTCCCCACAGTGGAATTAATCGACAACTATTCCAGCATAAGTTTTACGCACAGGATGCCCTTCCAGCTGCAATCCAGTACTGGGAAACACCCATACATTCTCACATTCACACACACAATCATACACATCGGCCAATTGAGCTTATTTAATTCACCTTTAGCGCATGTCTTTGGAATGAGGGGGAAACCGGAGCACCTGGAGGAAACCCAGCTGGACACAGGGAGAACATACAAACTCCACACAGAAATGCCAGCTGACTTAGCTGGGACTCGAACTGGCAACCTTCTTGATGCGAGGTGACTAACCACTGAGCCACCGTGTCACCCATTTTAACCTATTATTTATATTATTTAATGAACAATTAATAATGCCATGGGGCAATTAGTGGAGGCCTTCAGTAATGAAGAGTTTTCTAAGTTGCTAATGATGAAACAAATCGTGTCAAGTGACAGACATTTTAAAATGTCTTTAGAAATCAGATGCTTTAAAAACAACTCGAGTCTGAGTAAAAGCCTGGTTCTGACACCATTTGTGATATTCTGCATTGATTAAAACAGTAATAAAGACCTGATGGTTTAATAAGGAATCAAATGCCAGCATTAGGGCGACGCAGTAGGTGCTGTCGCCTCACAGCAAGAAGGTCGCTGGTTAAAGCCTCGGCTGGGTCGGTTGACGTTTCTGTGTGGAGTTTGCATGCGTTCGTGTGGGTTTCCTCCGGGTGGATTTCCCCCACAGTCTAAAGACATGTGTTACAGGTGAATTGGGTAAGCTAAATTGTCCGTAGTGTATGTGTGTGATTGAGTGTGTGTGCATGTTATACGCTGTGTAACATATAGTGGATAATTTGTCGGTTCATTCCGCTGTGGTGACCCCAGATTAATAAAAGGATTAAGCCGAAAAGAGAATGAATGAATTAATGAGTGAATGCCAGCATTTGCTCTCTGACACATGGATTTAACTGAGTAATCCAAGAGTAACCACAAAGGGGCGACAAAACCCCATTTACTATAAACTTGCAGCAAGATCAGCAATTTTGCATAATATTTAATTAGTTGATAAAAATCACTGCCATTGATTTTGAATGCAAATGAACAATGTTTGCTATTAAACACTGTAAGATAATTCGACAGCACAGCGCCAGACCTCTGAAAAGTTTCCACTCTTGTCATTTGAGCTGTAAATGCACGGAAAATAATGCCAGCTAATGTGATTTACTGTAAATATGTGAACGCTGAAGATGTTAGGCCACATCTGAAGTGGAATGCCAAACAGGAAGCTATAAGGGGATCCGTGTTTGGCTTGTCGTAGTGTTTGTGCAGTGCAGTGTCTGTTGTTCTTGGAGCTCATCCTGTTGTTAGCCAGTGAATTCTTGCTCTATTCTGCCTGGATAACCTCATTCAGGTCTGCAGTGTACATCAGCAGTTCCCAAATTAAGCTGAAGACACTTTCAAATACAAAAGTGTCTGCATTAAAGTGGATGCATCATGAATTGAGCGATCTTTATTTTTTATTATTGTTATTATTATGATTATTTATTTATTTGAGGGAGGGGAGGGGGGCATTTATTGTACAACAGATAGATGGTTTTGGTATACAGTCCTGATTTACAAAATTCAATTGATTTCATCTTTATTTCTATAGTGCTTTTACTATGTAGATTGTGTCAAAGCAGTTATTTGAAACTGTGTCAGTCCAGTTTTCAGAGTTGAATTTCAGTTTAGTTCAGTTCAGTGTGGTTTATTTTCACTGAAAGTCCAAACACTGAAGAGCAAATCCAACAATGCGCAGCTCCACAAGTCCCACACCAAGCAAGCCAGTGGTGAGGAACAAACTTCACCAATTGACAAAAGTGAAGGAAAAGAAACCTTGAGAGAAACCAGGCTTCGTTGGGCACGACCATTTCTCATCTGGTCAAAGGGGTTTTCTTATTCTGCAAAATCATGCATATTAACCTTTATTCGGGTTAGATATCATTACAGCATACCATCTGCTCCTGGCAGAAACACATCTGTCACTGACACATATTCAGTTGTCAGGCAAATCAGTGCAAAAGGCTATGTGAGAGTGCAAACATACGGAAATCAAACAGCATCCTAAAGTTTTTGTTGCATGGCAAACTGTCTTTTTATTTAATGTTTTGTCCTCCAGGAACAGCCTTTTTATTTCAAATTGTGAAAATATTTATCAATATTACTATTTGACTGCATTTTTAAAATAAGAAACATTAAGATAATTATTACAAACCTTTGTCTTGATGTCAAAACAACATAAAAAAAAACATGTCAAAAACATGTCAATTGATTTGATGTTAAAATCTTGACATGCATTTTACATCCACACACTGATGCTTTTTTTACTTCAAAAATAAGAAAGCTTCAATTACGAATTTACACAGAATTTATCTGTAAAAAAACTGACATCTCACACTGATGTCAAAAACACAGCAAAAATGTATTACGACACTGTCCTGTGATCAATTTTTGACGTCAGTGTTTGATGTCAGTTTGATATTAAAGTAGTTAATTATTGTCAAATCGTATTGCATTTTGTACATGTTTTTTTATGCATGTTTTTTATATTTCTCTTTGACATCAAAGTTCCCAGGTGGCACAGTGTCACCTCACAGTCTCGGCTGGCTCAGCTAGCGTTCCTTTGTAATATTTTGTTTTATTTAACATTTGTTATAAGATATTAAACAAAAACAGTACAATACCAATAAAAAAAAGAAAAAATAATACAAAATAATTGACATTAGCCCAACCCCCCCTCCCCCCCAAAAATCATCTCAGTTACAAATATATATATATATATATTGTTGTGAGTACAATTGTTTGTATTCAATACTTTATTATTATTATTATTATTATTATTATTATTATTATAATTTTCCATTTTCCACATCTGTAATGCCTGTATTCTGGCATTTTTTGCAGTCCACTTACAATCTAACAAGGAAATAGTTTTTTTCTTTATTGGCATTGATTGTTTTGAAATTCAAATGTCATTAACATGCCTGTGTTTTTATTTCTGTAATAAATATGGCTGTCAAGCCAGGATCTTGATGGTTTATTGTGGGTATGTTGTTCACATGAAGAAATCTGTGTTACAAGTTAAACAAAAATTCTCATAAACATTTATATTTTTAATTTAAATAGTTTT